TACTCTGTAGTGCTTGGCCCTCATTGGAAAACTTGAAATCGCTTCATATGACCCCTTTAAATCACTCATTTGTGAAGCTTTGGGAATCATTTGTTTCGAATCAGTGATTCGGAGCAAATGTCAAACTGCCGAAGTCACGTGATTTCAGTAAACGAGACTTTGTGACGTCACAACTTTTTCGAAATGTTTTAGATATTTCAGTTGTCAGCTCAGTGAAGTCATGAACCAGTATGTTTTTTTTTTACCTGATTCTGGGGTCGATTTAATAATTTTGTATATATTTTTAATGACACAAATAATGACACATCTGTATAATAAAAAAGGAAGAGTAGTCTTAAACGTATAACCATAGCCTATATACACATATTATAGGCTACAGACACTATGGTGATTTGTTATTTGCATTTAATAGATTACACTTTCAATAAAACATTTGCAATGGGTTTTTTATAGGCAGTTTTATGCATGTTTTGGCATGAGTTTTTGTTGCGTACACATTTTTGACCAGCATGGGTTGCTAGCGTTTGGCGTTTCGAGCACGTCAAAAAGGTGATTCGTTTTGTGAAGCAACTGGTTCAATTGATTCAAAGTTTCGAAGAGCTTCGTTACGAAATTTAAAAATTCTGAATTAAAAAAATTCTCGCGAAATTCTGCGATTGCTTTACGGCAGCAACAAATGCACGTCATGCACATCTACACCGACAATGAATTCCACTCAACTTTAGGGGGCTTTAAAGTCGCAAAATACACAAAACTAGTAGCCTAGATTATGACCATTGAGACAAACAAAACTGTTGAAATCAAATGTTATCTAAAACATTAAAAAATCTGTTTACTTAATTTTGTCGCTAGTATGAAGCATCCAATAAAACTAAATATAGGCTATTAAAATGCAGAAAACCTAATAATGTGATTTCTTGATTTTGCCACAAAAATAGGGAAACATCAGAAAAAAGAAAATAAAAATCAAAACCGACACACATTGTCTTATACTTACACATCCCTCATAGAAGTTCTTGATGTAGTTTAAGGACATGATAATGTCTTTTTTCTTTAAGTTGAATTACTCTGTAGTGCTTGGCCCTCATTTCAGACCTGATGCCTTCTGCTGAGCTCCAGCTCAAACGCTGCGGCTCCTGTTGACCTGTGCTGCATATTTCCCTTTCATCTGCTCTACCTTCCTCCATTTACCCACGAGGTACAAAAAGACAACAAAAAGGGAAAAACAAAGGGACTGGACATGTGGTCCACACATAATCCCCATTCAACTACGTCAGCAGAAGAAAAAAAAAACTGTTTTAGTGTAACACAGCATGTGTTTTTAGACTGAATTTCTGTGTTAAAGTCTTGTGTGTCTGTTGAATCCTTGAAGATATCAGAGCAAGAGGAATGGAAATATATTCAAATGCATGAAGGTTCAGTGTAGGTCAACTGGAAGACAGAAAAACATTCTGAAATATAAAAAGATTTTGCATTTACATTTTTTTTTAAACTTTTTATTAAATGTGCAATGCAGTTTTACAACATATCATTTGAACACTCATGAACGCTGACATGCTGGAGAATAAACAGACAAGTTGACCATATCGAGAGTCTCTTGAAATAGACTCCAGGCCATGAACAGGTGCTTGTGAAAGGGGGAGTTATCAGCCTGGACAGAGCGGCTAAATTTAACCAGATGAACAGAGCAAACAGACAGTCAGAGGACAAACGATTAAGAGCAAATACACATAAAGCAGTCATCGCACTTCATGATCTGATCTGACTGTGTGCACTTTTAAACATATATGGGTGATTTTCAAGAACTTTTCTAAGAAAGATTCCTTTAAAGCTGTAGTTTTAAAGTTTAAAGAATGTTTAATTTTAAATCATTTATTAATAGTGATACAATCATGGAAATTCTACTTCATAATAAATTATGTATACAATTTGTTCATTAGTTTAGAACCAAAAATTGCTGTCCCTGCTATTGCATTTCATTAGCATCCCATCTATAACAGGCAAAATTCTCAGAAAGTTCTGGCAAGGGCCTCTCAAAGTTATGAACCAGCGTTCTTCCAGAAACAGGAATAGAATGTTCATTCAAAATGATGTGGTCTTTAATAATGTTCTTAAACGTTAGCACAAAAACTGCATCACTTATGGAATGTTTTTTTTTCTCAAAAATTTTATAGTTGAATGTTCATCTTTCTTTTTTTAAAGGGGTCATATAATGCTGCATGCACTTTTACAAGTTGTTTGAACTGAAATGTGTGTTGGCAGTGTGTGTCCACAACCACCCTATAATGATAAAAATCCACCCAGTGGTTTTGTTTTAATCTGGTTAAATGTTTCCCCCTTTCTCAAATCGAGCCGATCTCAGATGCCTGTCTGTGTGACGTCACACAGACAGGCCCCTCCCACGATAGTTTGATTGACAGTAGTGTTTCAGCACAGACTGGACTGGTGTCTTACCTTAGCTCCGCCCTGAGTGACTGTCATCAGTCCGCCATTCTGAAACGCGTCGATTTTTACAAAGCTCATCGGTCTGAAAAGCGAGGTGTGCTCTGATTGGCCAGCTATCCAGTGCGTTGTGATTGGCCAAATACCTCAAGCGTGTGACGGAAATGTTACGCCCCTCACCATACTGTGATGCCATGTTTGGTTTGAAGTGTTCTGGAACAGTGTTGTAAATACAACTTAACCACTGATTTCTAGTTGTGTCCTCTTTTGGAAGACCAAACAAAGAAGTTTCGCTTTCACAACGAAGCACACAGCATCTCCACGATATGGCGGCGGCGGTGGCAACAATACTACAGCGAGAATCAAAGTTATTTAGGGGGTGTTATGCAAATCTTCCCACACAGTGATGTAGACATGTGGGGGCGTGTTTAAACGAGGCGTTTTAGGAGGGCGTGGATGAGTCTTAACTTTTATAAAGAATATCTCTTTGGGTTTGAGACTTTACTCTTTCCAACTTCAGGGATCTTATCTATTCACGAACAGCTTGTAACACTCCAAAGAGAAAGGAAAACTTGAAATCGCATCATATGACCCCTTTAAGAAACAAATCCACCATTACGATATTTTTTTACTTCAAACTGTTGAATCAGGAGAGAAATATGCACAGATCAAGGCAAGCACTGTTTACAAGTGAAAACAGTCCAAAACCATTCTAAGCACATATGGGTAGATTTTGATGTGAGAGGACAACCGGGGAAGGACTTTTTCACTAGAGGAAGCATTATTATGGATTATGGACTATTTTTGCCAGAAGCAATGGTTAAAACCTAAAATGACTTGATGATTCATCTTAATAATGGATTTGTTTCTTACAAAAATGCCGCTTTTCACCTCACAAGATGTTATCTGATGGACTGCAGTGGTGTGGATTACTGTGATGTTTTTATCAGCTGTTTGGACTCTCATTCTGACGGCACCCATTCACTGCAGAGGATCCATTGGTGAGGGATTCATTGGTAATGCTAAATTTCTCCAAATCTGTTCCGATAAAGAAACACACTCATCTATTTTTATACCTTCCTCATACCAACCCCCACACACCCCAAACAAATTATGTATATATTATTGAAACTTCAGCACATACTTTTCAGAAATGTGGTTAGGTCCAATATGGAAAACCTTTCAAATGTGTTGAAACTTGTTTAGAGTCTCACATTAAATGCATCAATGTTTAGTGTGTCTCTCAGACCCTGAACAGAACATTAGGGTTAATTTCTAGCTTGTTTAATCAGGGTTATTATTGGTGGCTAAGACTTACACTATTAAAAACATTTTTGTGAATTGAAATAAATCTGAAAATAAATTTGCGGAAAATCTTAAACTAAAGGAAAATGAGAAATGTTGCATTGGCAACTAACTAAAATAAGTTTAAGCTGAAGCAGTAAAATTACTAACTGGAAATTAATATATCTAAAACTGAAACTAAAACTGAAATAGAAATAAATTAAACCTAAATAGTAATATATAAAAATACAATAAAATAAAATAAAACCCTTTCTGTTAATTAAAATAAATAAACGGAAATAAATTTGAAATTAATTAGGTGAAAAACTTCAAACTAAACACAAATGTGACCCTGGAGCACAAAAGCAGTGTTAAGTCGCTGGGGTATATTTGTAGCAATAGCCAAAAATACATTGTATGGGTCAAAATTATAGATTTTTCTTTTATGCCAAAAATCATTAGGATATTAAGTAAAGATCATGTTCCATTAAGATATTTAGTAAATGTCCTACTGTAAATATATCAAAACTTAATTTTTGCTTAGTAATATGCATTGCTAAAGACTTCATTTGAACAACTTTAAAGGCGATTTTGTCAATATTTAGATATTTTTGCACCCTCAGATTCCAGATTTTCAAATAGTTGTATCTCAGCCAAATATTGTCCTATCCTAACAAACTTATTTGAAAAAAAAAGCTTATTTATTCAGCGTTCAGATGATGTATAAATCTCAATTTCAAAAAATTGACACTTACGACTGCTTTTGTGGTCCAGGGTCACAAATTAGAAATGTTGCCTAAGTTTAAGCTGAAGCACTAAAATTACTAACTGGAAATGAATAGACTAAAACTAAACTATAACTGAATTAAACATTTAATTAAGCCTAAACAGTAATATTTAAAATAATAACAACAATAATATGACAAAAGCACACAACAAACTTCCTAAAACTATAACCTAAAATTAAAAAGAAAACTGGAAATTTAAAATAAAAGCCAGTTCAAAATATGAATAAAAATATGATGTGAAATGTGAAAATATAATACTACATAAGAAGATGAACTGACTTTAACTGAAATTGAGTGTTTACTGTTGTCCTTTTGTATTATTACACACTATTTTTCCTATTTAATACTGTAAAGCTGCTTTGGCACAATCTGTATTGTTAAAAGTGCTGTATAAATAAAGGTGACTTGACTCGATAAGAAATACTAAAAAAACACTAAGCAGCTTGCTGTCTGATGTACATGGTAAGATGTTGATTTGTCTTACAGATGGCAAAGAAGATGAAGAAGTTGGAGAAGGAGACAGTGGCCTGGAAATCCCGTTTTGATGGCTGCAATAAAGCTCTCATTGATATGGTTGCAGATGTAAGTTGCTCAGGTTATATATCAATCATACATCAATATTGTTGAAATCAGTTAACCATGTCAGGTTCTCCAAAGAACCTTTTAGTAAATAGTTCTTAAAAGAACCCTTTTTTAACCATTTAATAATCTAAAGAAACTTTTTCCACTGTAAAGAAACTCCATGGATGTTAAAGGTTCTTCATTGAACCATAGATGCCAACAAAGAACCTTAATTTTTAAGAATTTATCAACTATGTATAAGAATTAAGAGAATGAATCTTCACCCAAATCGTGCTGCTGAGTCTTTATAGTAGATACAGATTAAATATGATCAATCTGATTTTCTCACGCAGAAAGCGCTGAAGGAGAAGGAGTTTGAACTCATCACCCTGAAGACCCAGAAACTGGAGAATCTGTGTAGAGCGCTTCAGGACGAGAGGAAAACCCTGTATCAGAAGCTCCACGGGTCCCAACAGCCTGGAGCCGAAGACTCGGCTGCTACTGAGCCAGTCACTACTGAGGAAACTACAGAGGAAGTGGCAGTAACTAAAGAGGAAGTGACAGTCTCAACAGAAGCGGTCAGTCAAGATGCAAACACCCCCATTGAACCAACCTGTAAGTCTCCCGCAGATGCGACGCCGCTGACCAAAGAGCTTGCCAACCTGAAGGCAGAGAAAGCTCGGCTACAGGAACTCTCGACAGCGTTCACCATCCACCGCCACCTGCCGCCAGAGGCCTACGAGGACTTAAACAGCTGCGTTGAGAGCGCAGACGATGCTCAGGGTGAGCAACAGGTTGACACGGAGTTCAACTTCACAGAGGAGACCGTCACAGACACACTGTCTGAAGAACATCAAGAGCTCAGAGACAAAGACATGCAGGCGGTTGATTAGACAGACTAATCTCAATGTCAGTTTGTCACATTCACAAATAAACTTTATACAAATACATCCATGTGTATCGCGCTTGTTTGAACTTTGACACCATGCATTCATGTAGTATTATGTATTTTATGATACATGTCATTATAAAAGATGTGAGGTTATACAAAAAATGGTTATATATACGGTGCACACATTTGGAGAAACTTTATTGCAACTGTTGGGAATAATAGATACACTCTAAAAAATGCTGGGTTAAATATAACCCAGTGCTGGGTTAAAAAGGGACAAACCCAGCTATTGGGTTGTTTTGACCCAGTGGTTGGGTTCAAAACAATAGCTGGGCTTGTCCCTTTTTAACCCAGCGCTGGGTTATATTTAGCCCAGCATTTTTTAGAGTGTACGTAATCATTTATCTGCTTTTTATTTTTGATATAGTATTAATAACTCAAGCTAAAGCCTACAGCCAATTATTTCCAATTTCATTCATATTTTTGTGAAATTGTTTTTCGAGTTGGCAGATGAGAACCTGTGGATGAACATTGGTGAATATAATTAGAAACCCATGCGAAGTAGCCTACGTATGTTACAAGAACCAGTAACAAAGTATTAGGGCCAAAGCAGATGTATAAACATTATCCAAAAATGCAAATCAGAGATCATACATAGGGTTGCTTTGATTTGGAATAAAACTTTTAATTGGTCAAATCATTTTAGAGGTCTTAAATAGAAAAAAGATGCAAAACTGACAACAAAATGACATTCTCTAAATGAATTAATCTTCATTTCACTGTTTTCATAGCCTATCTAAAGAATGTTGGAGCTACTATGTAAAAACAGGAGAATTACCTCAGGATTTGACAGTTATGCTGTTGGGAATAATAGATACACTCTAAAAAATGCTGGGTTATATTTAGCCCAGCATTTTTTAGAGTGTACGTAATCATTTATCTGCTTTTTATTTTTGATATAGTATTAATAACTCAAGCTAAAGCCTACAGCCAATTATTTCCAATTTCATTCATATTTTTGTGAAATTGTTTTTCGAGTTGGCAGATGAGAACCTGTGGATGAACATTGGTGAATATAATTAGAAACCCATGCGAAGTAGCCTACGTATGTTACAAGAACCAGTAACAAAGTATTAGGGCCAAAGCAGATGTATAAACATTATCCAAAAATGCAAATCAGAGATCATACATAGGGTTGCTTTGATTTGGAATAAAACTTTTAATTGGTCAAATCATTTTAGAGGTCTTAAATAGAAAAAAGATGCAAAACTGACAACAAAATGACATTCTCTAAATGAATTAATCTTCATTTCACTGTTTTCATAGCCTATCTAAAGAATGTTGGAGCTACTATGTAAAAACAGGAGAATTACCTCAGGATTTGACAGTTATGCAAGGAATTAATTATTAATTGTGATTATTGTGGGTGTTGGTCTCAAACAAGTAGCCTACTGTTCATTTGTTTAACTGGATTTACAAGATTCCTAAATTACTTAATTGCTTTTTTTGGGAGTGGCACATTTGGTCTAAAAAGTGGTCAAGAACGCAAAAGTGTCTTGGCAATTTTTAGCTATATGTATTTTTTTTTTTTACAGTTTCTAAACACTGCTATATAAGTAATTTCAGCCAATTACATGCCAAAGCCCCACCTCCAAATATATGCCAGCCAATCCGATCACAGCAAACGCGAACACATTTTTATATCTAGTATTAAAAAAAAGTATCACAAGTCACCTTTCTTTAACACTTTACACAGGTTTCAGACATCTCAAATCAGTTCTGGCTGTTGTAATTTCCCTCACAATGACTGACTGATGCAGAGGAACTTTGAACAGGTTCTTAAAGGGGTCATATGATGCGATTTCAAGTTTTCCTTTCTCTTTGGAGTGTTACAAGCTGATTGTGCATAGATAAGATCCCTGAAGTTGCAAAGACTAAAGTCTCAAAACCAAAGAGATATTCTTTATCAAAGTTAAGACTCTGCCACGCCCCCCTAAAACG